TAGATTCATCATCAACTCATGTGGATTTATATTTTATTAAAAAGTAGGCTATTTCAAATCAAATAAGTCCAGACCATAGACTCATGTATAGCGCAAAAAAGATATCATTTTAAAATGGGGATTATTTTCACCGAACATCATAACCAGAGGGATTTACATTTGTCGGACTTTAACATATTCTCTTTGTCAATACCGGCTAAAGGAAACCCTGCCATGTGAGTCTGTTCATGATCTCAATCATAATATGATAGACACTACATTTTTCTAAATAAAACAACATTCTACTGGGGACCCACTCAATCTCCACGACCACAGAGTGCATACATTAGCCTTTTCCAGCATTGTGCAAGAATAATGTGCTTAATTCATTACACGTGGTGTCAGACAGCTTGGAGTATGGTGCAGGCTCGCATACATCAGGGTAGTCGTTACGTGATGCGCTCTCATCAGGACCGTGGACAGAAGTGTGAATAGAGGGTTAATGTTTCCATCAGACTCAGATTCACCACGTGCGCCCGTCCTGGCCCTGGCCGGCCATGTCACCCGAGCGCCTCGACCCTAAGGCTCCTCTCCTGCATCGTCATGTTTTATTCAGCACCAGGGGAGTATTGGAAAATCGCCCATTGCAGTCAGGCAGGCAGCAACCTGAGCAAATAATCCAAGTCTTTCACAGAAGATCCCCCTCTCTACTCCCCTGTGGCCCCAGTAATAGAACACACCTACAACTGAATATGATGATGACAGAAAGCCACAGATTTGACATCCATTATTCAACGGTGGGTGCAGGAGGGTTAACATGGTGTACAATGGGGATTCTGTGAGCCAACTACTTAATAAGTGCAGGAAGGGTCGGCCACCAATAAAAGTTTGTTTTAAAGTGACTAGAAAGTACACCAACATATCTCCCAAAAATATTTAGATTATAATGGATTTAGAGGACATGTATTGCCACCATTATTTCTTATTTATCAGTGATCCGTAGAGGTTAACAGAAATGAAACAATGATGCATACAGCTTAACTTCTGGATTCAAACCATCTCAGAAACTGGGGGAATATTCAGGGTCACTGGCTTGTCAGTTAACCTACCAGACCATTTCCGTACCTAAATTCCATTTAAGGGTAATTGGACTTTCTGTGTTCTTTGAATAGGTTAAGAGCTCTATTTCATACCACAGTTGGACATTTCTTAGCTGCATATCCTACTCCCTAGTGAGAGTGAAAATGCAACAGGTTTTCTTCCATTCCAGGCATACCAGTTGTTAAAGACAGGAAATGGAACAGTAAAGGTATGTGTTATCAGGTTAGACACATGCAGCCATTAATGTTAACTCTGTTTCCTCCATCTCAACCTGCATTAGGCCCAATTTTAAACCAACCATGCATTATGTTAAGGTGGAAACTTGTGTAAATGTACAGTTTTATCTACTATATTTGTTTACCCAAAGAGTCCTGCACATATTGTTTTGTTGATTTTCTTAACATGAATGTCCCAATGTAAATGATAACCAAAATACATAATCACAGCCTGAGAGAAAAAACGAATATCGCTATTATAGTTTGTTTCTTCTCGTTGTATATATGCCATTGTTTTATGGGAAATGAGTGCAGACTAACCATTGTGTCATTCAGTGTTAATACGAAAATATTACACGCATATAGTCAGGCTGTACATGGGTTGAACAACCAATGGATCTCCTGGCAACAAGTTAGATCCAGGCCTTATTAAATGAATGTGACTTAAGGGAACGTCTTGACATTTTGGATTTCAGTTGGTCATTTTTATTTACTTTCAACTAATTATATTACTTTTCCTACTTTTTTTTATAGACACAGTTTGAGTGCTTAACTGCGGTAGTAATAACCTGGTTTTGCTGATTTTCCTAAATCAATTATTCAGGACTAACCTATGACTATTTCTTTCATCAGTATCTAGCAGCTAAAATAAGAATGTCACTGGTCTGGGTTCTTTAACTCGGCCTCATGCAGGGACACACAGGGGAAATGAACCCTCCAGCCAGTCGCATGCTGCTGATTAATAATGGAAAAGCAATATACTGTCACAGCCGGAGATGTACTGTGGTAAGGTCAGGGAACCTGGAGATCACATTACCTCCCCAGATGTTGGACAGACATGGAGGGAAGGAGGCGAGGGAGTGTATTATTTTTCAAATGAGTCCAATTAATTGGGATATATTCAGGCCAAACATAACAATGTCTCCTTCCCTGTAATAAGATAAGATAAGATAAGATGGTACTTTATTGATCCCAATTTGGCATAGGTTTGATGAGGTGGACTCTTCGTGTCTCTCACCCCTTTGTTAAATGGACCAACAGTTTGGTGAGAAGGACCTATACTGTGTGTGGGAGGAGTGGGAAGAGGATGTATAGAGTGGTGCAGTGATGACGTATTTCTTTCTCCGGAGTTAGCATTGCAAGGTCTCGGCATCAACACTGCTAAGCTAAAAGGGGCTAATGTTGGGCGTAATGACCTTGTCTGTCTCATTTAGTCACTTGTTAGCAAAGCTATTTAATACACATTTACCAGTGGGGTATTTATTCACATCATGTTTTATGTCGTACAAAAAAAAAACATTAACTTCTTATAAGCCTGTGTTAACCACAGACCTTATTTTAGGCATCTAACTAAAACACATTCAAAAACGTTGACTTCAAGACAAAGAATCGCAAGCTTTAAAATGGTGACTCATTACTGGGTTTTAGGGCTCATTCCTGCACCATTTCTATTGGGATGTATGTGAAAAGGATGGGGTATGTTAAAATATAACTTGGCTTTTGTTTGGCAATTACACACAAGGAATACTATGCCTGCAACCAAGCCCTCCTGTACTTTTACTGCATATCCTAATATCTGTCTGAATATTGTTAGCACTTGTTGCACAGTGATGCCTTGATGAATTAAGGTTTGAGTAGCAGTGTGATAAGTCCTAAAGGCAATGTCATGACAATTCAGCTCCAACTAGAGCAAGTGAGATATTCAGGGAAAAGAATGTGACATTTTGTACAAAGCTACTGAAAATGCCTGATTTTGAATGGTCCAAATGAATTCTTTTTGATGATAAATGTTATGACATTGTGATCTAAAGTATAATCCCTTAGACATGCTTTGCTATGTTTCAAGAGGATGGATGTTCTGTTTGAGTGAGTGTGGGTGGGTGTGCATTGAACAGTTCCTGTTTGATAAGCAGTCAGCATTTTACAGCATGTTTGCCTAAGGCTTTATGTATTGATCTTGCCTGATTTCGTGCAGAGTCATGGGGCCTCAGTTATATGACCAGAGTCTGGAGTTATATGAGACTTTGATCACTTCCACTATCATTGTTCCCTAAATGGTGAACAATGGCTTATACTTTCCTCAATAAGATGTTTTCTCAATATCCTGAGAGGCCAACCCCTTTAACTCATGTTTGAAGTGGCTATGGGATGCTGGCTGCCTGCTTTTCACTTAAAGGGGACATGACTGATTACATTAGTCTGGCTTTCACTTTCTCCTCCAAACACACACACACCTGCCTGAATGAGAACAAAGCATAACCTAGATACAAACAAAACAACAACCATAGACAGCTACAGGAAGATGGGAGAGTAGGGTCTTTAATCAGTGACTGGACTTTATTAATCCTGAGGGGAATTGGGTTTTCTGACATTGCTCTATTTTAGAATAAAAGACACAAATGTTAAAATGTTAAAATGTTAAAATACAAATTTTAATCTAAACAATAATTAAAAGTAGGAACTGTAAATACAAATATATGATAAATACCAATAAAATAGAATAAACCGTTTTTATTAACATATAAAGTAAATTGTGCAAACTATAATATATATAACAATATACAGTGTATTGCAATATATGCATTAAGCGATCCCCACCGCTAGTACTAAATAACAACGAAGAATATGTGACCCGCTCTATCGAAATAAGTCGGAAGTCGCAACGGCTCATTTCAAAATAAACGTGGATTTGTGTAAAAAACTAGTTTTTCGGGGTTCGGGTGTTTTGTTTGATTTTAAACAAACAAAGTCTTGGCTTTCAGAATATGACAATTTTATTTCCCAAATCACACGATAAATACATGTTTGAAGCTTGTAAAGGGAAGATGACAGCTCGCCACTCTGCTGTTCCGCAGCGCCGCCCCCCCTCCCTCCGGCTGAAATTATGAATGTAAGGCGTATAGTAAGCATAGATAACACGGCAGGGTCCGTTACAGTTTGCTTTCATCTGATTTCAATTAAACAAAGTCTTGGCTTTCAGAATATTAAACTTGTTTCGGCAAATTCAGATGATAAATACAACTTTGAAGCTTGTAACGGCATATTTACAAGCGGAGAACGGAGTAACTTGACGTCACTGTAGGCATAACAACAGCCAGTGTTTCTCGTGAGTGTTTTCCCCGGGAAACAAACACAATACACACAAACGCAAACATACACAAACACACACACACACATACATAAATCTCCTATTTCCAACAGTGTATACAACTCGAAATGTGTCTTCGGGTCAATGCGACTGATTTCGATGGAGCAGGTCACATATGTAACGGCCCACCATGAGACATTTAGAAAATGTTCTAGTTTAATAGTTAATTTGCTTTTTATTATTATTTATTTTCCAAAGTCTTGTTCTTGTGGGTGACATTGCAGAGAAACCTGCTCCGTCCCTGTTACTGGAACACTGACAATACGGTCACATGTGTTGGCAGTTTTTCATAGCTGACTTTATGCCTTTACCTGTGTGTTGTGCCAGTTGGCAGGAGCTGTGCTTTGGTTGTCTTTGACTAGAGCTCAATAACACCACTTTGATTTAGAAGTACAGAGGCTCTATCCAACCTGGCCACGTCTCCTCTCAAAATCACATTATCAACTGGAACACAACTGCTCTGTAGTTATTTGTTAATACTTAAAGGAAAAAATATGCAAAATGGATTTAATGCTACCAATTTTTTGTATCTCTTGTCCTAATCCCACCTGTTATAGGAGCTGCTGGGTGTGCTTCGCCACAGACGAGGACGACCGCACAGCAGAGTGGGTGCGCCCGTGTCGCTGCCGCGGCTCCACCAAGTGGGTCCACCAGTCCTGTCTGCAGCGCTGGGTGGACGAGAAGCAGCGGGGGAACAGCACGGCACGTGTGGCCTGCCCACAATGCAACGCTGAATACCTCATCGTCTTTCCCAAACTGGGTATGTTGCATCTCACACAGAATACAACTGAGACTAGACTTACTGATCAGTGAGAACGGTTTAATTGCCACACATTTCAAAGCAAGGTGTCTGAGCTCCTTTTGTCTTCTTTTGAAATGTTGTATAGAGCCTTTTGGGGATTTACAGGGAGCTGTGTGAAGTCTGATACATTGCTTGAAGCTAGAGGCCTGAGGCTACATTAGCTGCTACTAGCATAAGCAGTAGTTGATATATATATAGTATTATAATAATATATTATAGTATATAATAAAAGTACTTAGTGCAGAAAAAAGCTCTAACTTTGAACAAAAACAAATGTAAACAAATATTTAATATTTGAAAAAGATCATGTTTCAAAGGTTATTCATATTTTGGTTTCAAAAGTCTGAATCTATAAAATAACACGCAGTAAAAAAACATAGTGAATTAAAAGTGCAATATTTCCCTTTATAGTGTACTAGAAGTATAGAGTGGCCCAGAAAAAAATACTCAAGTAATGCACACGTACCTAAAAATGTACTTAAGTATGGTACTTGTGTAATGTACTTTACACCACTGAAATATGGGAGTGCAACGCTAAATTTGCTTAGTAAACAACAAACAATACACTTTGGCCTGTCTGCTGGTTTGAAATAATAATAACTCTAAAATGAATCAGTTGTACTGAAAAACATTGAATCACTCATTGTCCACCTGTTAACATATAACTATAGAGCACATTTCCATGTAAACAGACGGCTCCAGCTCCTCTTTGAGGGCTGTTAGCAACTGTACTCGGAGAGCTATTCTGTTTGTCCTGCCTGAGTGCATGTTTATTTACTCTGCAGCCAGCATATGGTCTGAGGTGATCTGGGTAAATATTTCCTTTCAGTCTGAAGAGAAACGGAAGGGCCCTCACTTGCTATAGGACCCAGCTCCTGACTGACTGACCAGCAGCAGTTTAAAGAAAGACGCTGCCGCAATTATCCTAACACAAGAGAGTGACTATGGCTTCAAATGTTCACAAACACAAGCTTTGACTCATTGAGTGAATATACAGACCTCGGCTTATTGCCCTTTTTGTTGTATTTTGCAGTGGCAGGAAATATTCCAGGGACAGCAGTAGGGCTGCTCGATTATGGCAAAAATCATAATCTCGATTATTTGGGTCAATAATTGTAATTGTGATTATTAAATGTGATTATTCATTGACTTTGAAAACATCCATTTATTCTACTTTAAAACAAATACAAATAATAATTTGAACTTTTTAACTGTTGAATTATACGCTCAGGGTAATCAACTGAAAAACCAATACAAAATAAAATAAAATAAATTATACATTCATATCTACATTTAAATAAATAATATCAAAATAATAAATACCAATAAACAAGATCAACAAACATGTGGCAGTGCACTGTCACAACCTGAAAACCCCTTAACATATAGCCAACATTTTGGTAAAACTTATTCAACATATTCCACTCAGTTAAACCCACCGTCATGGTCCAGAAGTAGCTCGTTTATGGCAAAAATCATAATCTCGATTATTTGGGTCAATAATTGATATCACGATTATTAAAAACGATTATCCATTTACTTTGAAAACATCAATTTATTGGAGAATTTTTTTTGAACAGTATGTTTTGAACAGTTGATTACCCTGAACCTTAAGTATAATTCAACTGAAAAAAAAAATTATTTGAAAAAAAAAAAAAGAATTGTGATTTAATTGTAATACACGTTTCAAAATGATGCTGAAGTAACAACATACTGATACCGGTTAGTAAAAACCATGAATTAATGCTTTGACAAGTCTGCAGACAGACGGCAGGCGAAAAACCTTTTAAAATGCGTGTTTTCTAAATGGAGATTGGCTAAGCTAACGCAGTATATGCTCCGACCGTCCACACTCACAACAACGGCCTATACAGACATAAATAAACCAGCGACTGTATTCACCATGACACAGACAGTCTGTGGTGTGTACTTGTTTAACTTTTGTCTAGTTTCTGAACAGATATGAGGAGCTGTGAGCTCTGAGTGCTAACAGCTAACGGCTGATGTTGTTTTTCTGGGGTTCTCATTGAAGATGACGTCACGGCTCCGTCTACACTGCGTTACTATAGTTACTGCCCCAGCTACTAAACTGTAATGGAAACGCAGCATAAAGTGAGCCTGGCCTAATAAGGCCTAACAAGGCCTAGCCATACCGTACTAAGCCGAGCGAGGCCCTGCAATGGAAAAGCGCCATTAGTTACCCTATCATCCAATGAGCCGCTGTCAGTTCAACCTCAAGTTGCAATCTGAGACGGTAGCTTGCCCCAAGACAATGCATGTCTGCAGGAGGCCTGGCTTTGGCTTGTAAACAGGTTCATGTATATTTATGGTGACCAATGCTGTGCTGTCAGTCAATTTGGTTCTATAGGCAGAAAGTTCTGCTCAGCTTTTCAAAAAATGTATCCTCCTCAATAAATAACCCAGTGTTTGTCTGTATCCTTCCTCTGAGAGCTGATTATTGGCTGCTTACTGGGTATTTGTGAGTGGCCTTTCCTTTTTCTATTCAAGGTCATAGTAATGTCTCAAATGTCCCCATCGGACGTTTCATTTGTGCTGTATTCAAGAGGACATATTCTGCACATTTTGATGAGATATCAGTATGTAGTGTCTCCACTGGGACATGTCTCCACGCTTTAATGTTCAAAAAGCTCTTTATTTTTCTCAAACTGCCTGTGCTGCAGCACCTCTTTTCACCCTCTGTCTGAAACCAGAGACCAGTCTGCTCCGATTGGTTAGCTCTGTTGTGAAAGTACGGTGCACACCCACTACTCTACTCTAATGAACACAGACCAAGACAAGACCAGCACAATAATGAAAATAGCATCTTAGTCAACAGTTGGATCCAACGCTATATGGCAAACCCCTATAGGCGTGCTGGAGCGCTAGCCAATAGAAGAGCGAGTGTTACACAGTGATGTCATTATGTTAGTAATGCGAGTAAATGTAGTCCAATGGAGGCGTTTCAGGCAGGGTGGGAGGGAGTGTGTGGGAGAGAAACTCCCTCTGGTGGGAACTTTGGTATTTTAGCCTTTGGAAACCATTTACATGCACACAAACCTATATAACACACTACAGGAAAAACATAATAGAGCCCCTTTAAACTCTTTTTAGACATGTTCTGCCACATCATTATGTCGTTATTCTGAGCCTGCTCTTTTTTCTAACAGCCAAAGAGGAGTGGTGGCTTAGAAGGTCAAATGTTTACACTCATCAGCGCCAGACTCCCACTCCTTAGTTTGTGTTTCTTTGTAATGTGTTCAAACCCTCAAGAGGTTTGGCCAAAAGCAACACAATGTCATAATGGATGGGCCGGTGGTTTATTTTGAAAGGGAGCTTCCTCTTTACTGTGGCTGAATGTCTGAGTGATGGCAGCCTGAGGGAATGATGCAGCAGACTGCCACCACCACCGCTCACTTATATAGGGCGTTATATAGGCAACCAGAGGCTTGTGTTACCTTTGGTTTAGCCACATCTAACTGGCTGTCTCTCAGAGAAAATGACTCTGTGAGAGGTGTGTCTCTTAACGTTTGCTTCCTCAGAAAATCAGTATATATATCTTGTGCAAATACAAATGTGTAGTAAGGCATAAAGTTAGAGTGCAGTTGAGCTTTGGAGATGAGATGTATTTATGAATAATCGTGTTATACCACTAGAAAGCATTGGAAATTGTGAAACAAGAGCAACTTTTTACTTGGAGAAGGGGCGACCCTGTTGCTATGGTTGACGTGTTAACTATGACTACAGTGAATGGTTGGAAATAACATTTAAAAATATATTTTTTTTTAAAGATAAATAAATAAAACATAAATGATAATAAAAGAGTCTCTGTTAACAAAAATTACATATGTTTTGATATCATTTGGCTTACCCCAAAATGTTCCCACACGGTAATTAATTAAAACATTTTTATCAATGTGTCTTACCATTAATCAAAAAGTGACATTATAGAGTGGTGCAGGAATGAGGTCTGAATCAGAATAAACGTTTTTAGAACATGTTTTGACATAAAACACGGATCAGGACAGGAAGTTGAGCAACAGTGAGTTATAAGGACAGCCTGTTCAGTTTCCTGAAGTCTCATCCACCTGGAGAGTGTTTTTCCCTAGTCCCCTTCAAAAGTGTTTGACGCAAGGGAGCAGAGAGAGGGTGGATGTGTCTGGGAGAGAGAATAAGGTCACGGGAGGAGAGCTGAAGGAGCAGCTCATTAAAGGCTGGTGGAGAAGAGTGGAGTGCAGAAAAATCCGTGAAATTGCGGCTGTCCTCGAGTGTTTCCCTGTGACTAAAACATCACATCGTTAGAAGTCTGTGATAGTGATAATCCTACATAATATGGAACAGGATGTGCCTCAGACCTCATCACCACATGCAAAAGTGGCATGCTGATTTGCCAGATGTCAGCCTTGGGTCAGCTTCATTTACATAGTACTTGGTCTGAGGACATTTGATTATTGGTTTCACCATATTATGACACTTTTGGTAGACCTTTTTAAATTAAATGTCCTTTACTGTGCTTTAATTGTTTGCAAATATGACTAGAAAAATCCCTAATTTAAATCTTACTTGTGCCATCTGAAAATGTCTAGTCTCTAGCTGCAGAATACCTTGGGCATTAGTGCTCTTCAAAGTTAGCAGGAGGAGTATAGTTTTGTCACTTTTGCTGCAGTGTACCTTTCCCTTTTTTTGTTCTTAGTCATATAGATATATAATGCTGCCTTATGCTTCCTTGTTGTAAACACAATTTATTACTCCATGTGTTTTATTTCAGTAGCTTGGCTTCAAAAGCTGTTGTATGCTTTTAATATGAGTGACTGAGGCAGAGCTGTGGACAGGTAGAGCCCGCAGTAGTTATCTTCTCAGGGTTGCTGCTCATTTCTAGATACTTGACGGGCATTACTGGTGTTTGCCTCCCAGGGTGTGACCTCTGTGTTCTGCCGAATCGGACTGGGGTTGATTTGAGC